GGGTGTAAAGTGCTGGGCTCAGGGTCTGGGGACTTAGGTTCTTTCCTCTTCTGTTCACAGTCTTCCAAGGTTCTCATGAACTTCTAGTAAAAATAGAAGTCGTCTCCACGACCCACAGGACACCGCACGTCCCCACCCTGCCTTCCCCTCTTCGTCTCTCCCCTTCTTTCACTCCACTCCAGTCACATGGCCGTCCTCTTTGCTTCTCTACCTCATCAGACCCCATCCTGTCCCAGGGCCTTTGCATGAGCTGTTTTGCCAGAACGCTCTTCCACCCTACTTTCCCAGGCTCCACTCTTCCACCTCCTCCGGGACCAAGGAGCTCTGGTAGCAAAGTGGTTACAAATCGGGATGCGAATCGTAAGGTCAGCAGTTTGTTTCCGTGGGAGAAAGATGAGGCTTTCTGCTCTCGTAAAGATTTACAGCCTCAGAAACCCTGTACAGGGTCACTATGAGTCGGAACCGACTCCATGGCACAGAACCACCACCACCACCCTTCCACCTCCTCCTGGACCAGAGCAGTTGCCTCTGTTCGGGTCCCCTGGCTCCGCCCTCGCCCCAGTCTGTTCCCCTCGCGATAGCCAGAGGGCGCGCGTGAGTACCTGAGTCAGGTCCCTCTTTCTCCCACAGCCCTCAGAGTTTCCACCTCCAAGTCCTGAGTCCTTTTACACGAACTGCCCCCGTTCCTCCAGGGCCCGGTCTCACCTCAGGGCCTTTGCATGGGCTGTTTCCTCTGTCGGGGACACCTCCCCTCAACCCCAGCTCTTCTCTTTTCTTCCACCTTCAAAGCCACCTCCTCAGAGAAACCTTTTCTGACCATCCTGGCTGAAATTCTCCCTCCTGGATCACTGCACGCCTCTCAAGATCACTTTGCCCTGATAGTTCCTTCAGAAGTCTCTTTCCTTTCTAAATTTATCTTGCTTCCTTATTTCATGACTGAGCTGCTGTCCCTCTCCCCTCCACCCTAACTTCACCACTAAAATGGGAACAAGAGGCGGATTGTGCGTGTCTTTGCCCCTGCTGCACCCTAGCGGTCTGGCACAATCCCTGGCACACAGGAGGCGTTCAATAAATATTCAAGGGAACAAAAGACCAGTTCATTGTAACCATCCAGCTGTTTGCAATTTGCAACTGGCTCCTGGTCTACTGACCTAAAGGTTGGTGTTTGGAACCCACCTTGCGGTGCAGCAGAAGAAAGACCTGGCGATCTGATTCTGTAAAATTTGAAGCCAAGAGAACCTCACCGGACAGAGCTATCCTATCAAACATGAGGTCTCCATGAGTTGGAATCAACTCCACACGGTGGTGGTGATGTGCCGTGGAGTCGGTTCTGACTCACAGTGACCCTGTACAGGGTTTCCGAGGCTGTAAATCTTTACGGGAGCAGAAAGCCTCATCTTTCTCCCGCGGAACAGCTGGTAGTTTCGAACTGATTGGTAATCCCTAGGCTACCAGAACTCCACATGAGTGGGGTTTTATTTTCATTTTGTTTTCTTGCCTCCGTAGTCAGCGACCCTGTTATGCACGACCTCTCTTTGTCCACCCTGGAATCTAATCTCAAAGAGTTTTCTTTGAGGCTCAGAGCAGAGCCCAGGCGAAGTCTGAGTCAGCGACAGAAATAGCCAGCAAGCATGACTTCCCACTGACTCATGCCAGGCTCGACCAGGGAGAAAGGACAAAGTTAATGCTCAAGTTCCTGGTCCAAAGGATCAGCAGCTTCCTGGTCAGTGGGCCCCAACTTGTCTCCTCCCTTACAACCTCCCCAGTTCCCCAAAGTTTAACTGTCCAAATGTTAACCCCCTACTTCTGACCCATGGGACTTTGGGCACCAAAACTAACTTGTTTTACACCCAAATAAGGAGCTCTGGTAGCATAGTGGTTACGAATTGGGCTGAGAACCTTAAGGTCAGCAGTTCGAAACTACCAGCTGTTCCATGGGAGAAAGATGAGGCTTTCTGTTCCCGTAAAGATTTACAGCCTCGGAAACCCTGTACAGGGTCGCTATGAGTCAGAAGTGACTCCACGGCACATAACCACCACCACCAATGGGCCAAATAAAGAGTTTCTTCCCCAAGGAGTAGTGTTAGGGATTCTAATTGGAGTCCTGGTATGGCACTGTAAGAGAAGCACTGGGCTGCAAGGTTGGTTTGAACTGCAAAGTCGGTAGTTCAAGGTCACCAACTGCTCCTCAGAAACTCTATAAAGGGTCACTGAGTTAGAACCTGCTTGGCAGCACTTAACAACAACAAATATTTAAGACATCAAGAATCCACAGTTAAAGGCTCCATGAATGTTGCTGAAAGTGAAGAGATCTTAAAATACTCACTGATGAAGATCAAAGACCACAGTCTTCAGTATAAGTTGCATTTCAATGTAAAGAAAACAAAAGTCCTCACCATTGGACCAATAAACAACATTCTTATCAATAGAGAAAAGATTGAAGTTGTCAAGGACTTCATTCTTCTTGCATCCAACAACACTCATGGAAACTGCAGTCAAGAAATCACAGGACCTATTGCATTAGGCAAATCTGCTGCACAAGACCTTTTTAAAGTGTTGAAGAGCAAAGGTGTCAGCTTGAGGACTAAGGTGCGCCTGACCCAAGCCATGGTATTTTCAATAACCTCATATGTATGCGAAAGCTGCACAGTGAATAAGGAAGACCGTAGAAGAATTGATGCTTTTGAGTTATGGTGTTGGAGAATATTGGAAGTGCCATGGGCTGCCCATAGAACCAACATATCTGTGTTGGAAGAAGTGCAACCAGAATGCTCCTTGGAGGCCAGGATGGGACATGGGCTCAGTGATCATTTATGTTGTGCTTAGTGTTTGCATGTTGATACACATTATTTGCTGAAGACCCAGAAAACACCAGTATGGCGGTGGGGGTGGGGCAGGGAGTGGACTCAGACTTCCGGCGATCCCAAGTGTGTCAGAGTAGAACTGTACTCCAGAGTTTTCAATGGCCGCTTTTTCAGAAGTTGATCGCCACATCTGTCTTTTGGGGCGCCTCTGGTGGTTCTCAAAACTGCCAACCTCTCAGTTAAGAGCCGAGCTAGCACTCAGGAACTTTGATCTTGAAATCAAAGTACGTAAAGCCACTTCTCAGATGAGAAAACGGAGGCTCAGAGAGGTAAAGACATTTACCTAAGGGCACACAGTGGGTGTGTGGTGTGCAGTTGGGAGTCGGTTACGACTTAAAGGGACCCTACATAGGGTTTCCAAGGCTGAGGCTGTAGATCTTTCTCCCGCGGAACAGCTGGTAGTTTCGAATAGCTGACTTTGAAATTAGCAGCCGACTTGTAACCTCTACGCTACCAGAATTCCTGCCTTTACTGGTGGAGCTCCAAAATGCTTTTCCAAGGCCGACCCTAAATCCAAAAAGATGTTCCCGAAAATTACTCTTCGGAGCAAGGCTTGATATTAGAAGGCACATGGCCGCCCAGAAGACTACATTTCCCAGCCTCTCCTGCAGTTGGAGAGTGCACCACGCGACTACTTTCCGACTAACAGGGATGTGCGCATACTCCAGGGCGAAACTTCCGGTTTGTGCTCGCCTAAGGCTCACATCACCCTTCCGGCTCTTTGAAAACAGCACTACGTTTTTCCTTAACACAGCCTCTGAGATTATGAACTCAGTTCGGTGACCTCAAACCGCCCTTGTGGTCCAGTGCTTATTCGACAGCGCTACCCCAGGACTCTGTAACACTGTATCTCCATCCCCCTAGCTTCCTAGTGTTTTGCTGCAGGGTAAACACTGGAGTGTTAACTACACGGTGAGCAGTTCAAACCCACCAGCTGCTCTCAGAAACCCTATACAGGGTGGCTGTGTTAGAATCATCACAATAGGGATGCAGACTTTAGACCAATCAACCATTTGAGATCAAAACGGCAGTGCTTACCCAAGGAGTCCTTGAGCACAGTGGTTACATATTGGGCTGCTAACACAAAGGTCAGCAGTTCGAATCTAGTAACCGCTCCACCGGAGAACAATGAGGCTTTCACTCCCATAAATATGTATAGCCCCGGAAACCCTATACAGACACAACACTACCACCAGCCAAGGGCAGAAGGAGGACTGCAGTGGCGCTGTGGGTTAATGCGCTGGACTGCAAAGTCGGTGGTTCAAGCTCATCATCCACTCCTTGGAAAGTGGCTATATAGTCGGAACTGACTCCGCGGCACCTAATTAAACAACAAAGGAAAGGAGGAGGACTGTAAACAGGTATCAGTGGGAGGAAGTAAAATGAGTGATGTTGCATGTTACATGTTGTGAAGTGCCGTAGAGCCGGTTCCTACCCATAGCGGCCCTGTATAGGGTTTCCGAGGAGAGCTTGAACCACCAACTTGCAGTTCAAATGGCTTTGCAGTCTGGCTCATTAACCCACAGCGCCACACCAGGGCTCCATGTTACATAGAGGGACTACAAATGTGTTGTGGAATGGAAAATCCATCTGCTCTATAAACGTCACACAAGTTTTAAAATATATGTAAGCAGTGTGGTGGCTCTGTAGGGTGGGATAAGCACTAGAACTACAATGTCAGTAGCTTGAGACCACCAGCAGCAGCTCCACGGTAAAAAGATGAGGCTTTCTGCTCCTGAGCGCCAGAAACCCCTACACACACAGGACTGCTGTGAGTCAGAACTGACTCTGAACAGCACTTACCAGCAACACAAGTCTCCTAGAGGGAAGGGTTGCCAGGAAATCAATAAATATTTATTATAATTAAAAGATGAGCCCAATATCCCCCCTTCAGACCCATGCCCCACCATAATTCCAGAGAAGACCCCACCCACCCAAATAGCAGATGAATTTATAAACACCAAATCTCATTTAGGCCTTTCAAATCCATTTCCTGGCCACTGGGGGTCTTCCTGGAAGTTACTGATGACCCCACCTCCTAGGTGTCTCAGGGGCAGTACAAAGCTCATGCCGGGGTCCAGGTGTGTCCATGCTCAGCATTCCCAAAAGTAGAGGTCATCAAGTCGGGTCACTTGGTCATTCTGCTTCTTGGGTCTTGTCCTCAGGGGCTGGGGCCCCCCTCTGCCCCCACATGTGGTTGTTGAGCCCCAGCTGGACCATCTGCGCATGGTGGATAATGAGGGGCTGCAGCCCAGGACTCTGAGGAGGAGGAGAGGAGGTCGGCAGGAGGGTGGGGGGCTGCAGGAAGGCCGGTGGGTGGATGCCAGCTGGCCACTGAGATGGAGGTGGCTGAGGGCCACCAGGCCAGGTAGGAAAGGGTGGTTGGACCCCCAGGGGCACCTGAACCCCAGGGGGCATTTGAGTCCCCAATGACATCTGGGCTCCAAAAGCCACCTGTAGTTTCTCCATCTGGGCCTGCCAGGCCAGGTAGCTCTGAAGGTAGGCAGAGTAGGCGGCATTCATCTCAACCGCCTGCTGCCGTTCGCTCTCTAAGTGCCGGCTCTGTTCCCGGAAGGCCCTGGCTTCCTGCTCCGTCTTCCACTTAGCTTTGCGTGCTTGCAGGTTCTGTCTCTTGAAGGTGTTTTTCACCTTCTTGTCGAAGAGCGGGGAGTGTTCGTCTAGGAACGTGAGGCTGCAGAGTAGCCGGGACGTATCGGAGCTGAGTTGGGATGTCTCCAGGGGCCAGAAGGGAATGACAGAGTCCTGCCAACCGTGCCGCCTGAAGCTGGTCATCAAGGCCTGGCTGACCTGGTGCAGGCTCAGCTGGCAGTTGAAGTTAGACGTGAGCAGCAGAATCGTGAAGGCCGAGTGGTCGATGGCATCTTGAAGGCAGCTCAGCTCGCCACGCCCGGGCACCTGGAAATCCTCACAGAAGGTGGCCCCATCTGGCACGCCCAGAGCCTCCAGCCTCTCCCGGACACGCAGGGCCACGGCCTCATCAGCCCTGGCGTGGAGGACCACAAAGCTATAGAACTTCAGCTCCGATGATGCCACCTCAGGAGGTGAGGGGTCCGAGGACGAGGTAGTTGAGGGAGCCGCACACGGGGATGATGGAGAGGGAGGGGAGGTTTGGGAGGCCGAGGGAGGCGGTGGGCACAGCTTGGTTTTCTGGGAGGCCGTGTCTTTGATGACAGGAAGTGAGGGAGCCCCCCCATCCTTGCTAGTGTTTTCAGTGGGCTCCAAGACTGGGGAGGGGAGAGGATGGGAAGGTGAGAGGAGGGAGTTGGGGGCTGCAGATATCTCGGTACACTCCACTGGATAGTGGTCTCTGGATTCCAGAGGTGCTGAGGGGTCGGGGAGGCCAGCAGGGCTAGGGTTTGGTGCCACCACGGACAGCTGTGGGTTTGGACTGTGTGGCACCTCCTGGGGGGGGTCAGTCTCCACGGAGGGGGGCCAGCTCACCTGTTCAGGCTCCTGGCCGTCTATGGGGACAGGCTGGGGCCCAGGGCTGGCCGAGGGTGGGTCGCAGAGCTTGCTGGGCCCGGGGGAACTATGGGAATGGGTGAGGAGGAGCAGAGTGGGAGACTGGCTGATCTGTAGGCTGCAGGCCAGAGAGGTGGGGCTGCCAGCAGACTTCAGGGAGCAGGCCCGGCTCCAGCCCGAGGAACCCCTGATGGGTTGTGGGAGGCTCCTTCTCCCAGGATGGGATGCCGAGGACGGGAGGCCCCCCAGATCAGAGCACAGGGGCTGGAAGCTCTCTGGGTCTCCCATGTCCCACCTGCACCGGTCACGGGCCTCAGCCTGGAGGTCCGGCAGCCGGGGGTCATCCGTGGAACTGAAGACCTGCAGTGCAACACGGTAGGCTGCCTCCTGCAGCAACGCCGGGCACAGCTTCTCCTCGGCCAGCAGGTGGTACATGCGGGCAACTGTCCAGGACATGTCCAGCGGTTCCTCCGGGGCCTCGGTGACGTCCACACCGGCCCACCAGCGGGCCACAAAGTGGGCTGCTGCATCTGTCCTGAGCGTCTCCAGAGAGAGCCGGGCCTTGGTGTCTTGGCCCAGAGTCAGGAGCACCAAGGCCCGCAGCAGGCCAGCCCCCGGGCAGCTCGCGTACAGAGTCTTCAGTTTGTGCTTCAGATGCAAGAGCTTGTCCTGGCCCGTTGCACTTAGAATGTCGAAGACGCCCTGGAGCGAGGGTTGTGTACACTCCATGTGCAGGGCTGGCGGCAGCCTCCAACGGTAGAAGCAGCAGCAAGGAACGGCTGAGGCATGTTCCAAGCTGCCTGACTCCTGACCCCAGGCGTTCCCCTATCCGGTCAACACATTGGGGGCCGTGGGGGGTTTCTCTGAGCAGACCTGGGGAAGGAGAGGGCACGGCGTTAACACAGAAAGGGGGCAGCCCACCTCGTCCTTTCAGGGTGACCCTAGCCCGGACATTTCACTTCCCCTGACTCCCCGCAACGTGATACATAGAACATTTACTTGGGAGGGAGTCCCAGAGTGGTGAGCTGTTACAAACACTCAACGGCCAAACAGTTAGGAGGTCACGTCTGACTTCCTCTGGCTTCACACGGGGGAAGGAGAATCAAACTCAGTCAGTCCAAGGCTGATTCCTATGAATGGAGGTCAGACACGCCTCCATCCTTCAACCTTCTTTACCCCATTCTGATTCCAATTATCTCTCCCACAGCACTCTCAGCTTCACAGCTGGGTTTGAAATTCACTGGGCCACACAGAACTCAGAGGAGTGAACAGGGTACAGTTCAGGGTCATAAACAACTGCCGATCGATACAGCAGTGCTCCAGTGAGGACTGCCTCTTCTCTGCCATACTGCAGACAAGCCTGGACCTCTTGGCTTCAGCCTCTCAGCCCTGTGGCCCCTCAACCTCTGCCCTGCTCCTTACTCCTTCTGCAAACCAGCCTCCTGCCCTTAGGCATTGAGTTTGGGGTCAAAATACCTTAGCTGCTCTGTGTCTCCAATCTGTACCTCTAACTGCCAATACTTTCCCAGGTAGGGATCTCATACTCCCCTCTTCTTTCTTGATGGTCTTGGAATTGTTTGTTCCTGCTTCTGAGATGACTCCTTTTAACCCAGCGGGATGGTAAAACCAACCAATCCCAGTCTTAGTCCCTTATACCCTATTGTGGCACTGTGGGTTAATGCGCCAGACTGCAAAGCCGTTTGAACTGCAAGGCCGGCGGTTCAAGCTCACCAGCTGCTCTTTGTAAACTCTATACAGGATCGCTATGGGTTGGGATAGACTTGACGGCACTTAACAACAACAACAACCCAATCATTTGCTGAAAGTTAAAAAGACCGTCTGTTTGTCGTACTATGGTGGCTTTCATGTCGCTGTGATGCTGAGGCTATGCTACTGGTATTTCAAATAAACCTGGTGGACAGGCTTCATCTGAGCTTCCACACTAAGACAGACTAGAAGAAAGAGAGATGGACTAGTCCCTAATATTTAGTCATTGAAAACCTTATGAATAGCAGTCGGACATTATCAGATATAGATAGTGCCAGAATATGAAAATATTATAAATAGCAGCTGAATATTTTCAGACATAGTGCCTAAAGATGAGCCCTTCAGGTTGGAAGTCACTCAAAATACAACCGGGGAAGAGCTGCCTCCTCAAAGTAGAGTTGACCGTGAAGATGCGAATAGAATAAAGCTTTTGGGAAGTTCATTTGTTGATGGGGCACAACTCAAAATGGGAAGAAATAGCTGCAAACATCCATTAATGTAATGTACAAAAGTATGGACCTAGGAAAATTGGAAGTTGTCAAAAAAGAAATGGAAGGTAGAAAGATTGATATTCTAGACATTCGTGAGCCAAAATGGCCTGGGTATTGGCCATTTTGAATGCAACAATCCTATGTTTACTATGTCGGAAATGACAAATTCATGCGGCATGGCACTGAATTCATCACATTTCAAGATCTATCTTGAAAGTACAACGCTGTCTGTGGGAGCATCAAATCCATATGCCTACAAGGAAGCCCAGTTAATACTACTATTATACAAATTTATGCACCAACCACTAAAGCCAGTGATGATGAATTGAGGAATTCTACCAACTTCTTCAGTCTGAAACTGATCAAACATGCACTCAAGATGTATTGATAATTACTGTTGATTGGAAAGTGAAGGTTGGAAAATATGGCTTCGGTGATAGAAATGATGCTGGAGATTGCATGATAGAATTTTTCAAGACCAATGACTTCATTACAAATACCTTTTTTTAAACAACATAAAAGACGACTATACACATGGACCTCACCAGTTGGAATATACAGTAATCAAACTGATTACATCTGTGGAAAGAGATGGTGGGAAAGCTCCATATCATCAGCTAAAACAAGGCCAGGGGAAGACTGTGGAACAGACCATCAATTGTTCATGTGCAAGTTCAGGTTGAAGCTGAAGAAAATTAAAACAAGTTCAAGAGACCCAAAATATGATTTTTAATATATCCCTCCCACCTGAATTTAGAGACCATTTCAAGAACAGATTTGATGCATTCGACACTAATGACCAAAGATCAGAAGAGTTGTGGGATGACATCATACAGGAAGAAAGTAAAAGGCCATTAAGAAGAGAAGAAAGAAGGAAAAGACCAAAACGGATGTCAGAAGAAACTCTGAAACTTGCTCTTGAGCATAGAGAAGCTAAAGCAAATGGAAGAAATGAGGAGGTAAAAGAGCTGAACAGAAAATTCCAAAGGCCCTTGAGAAGACAAAGTCCAGTATTATAATGAAATGTGCTAAAATCTGACGTTGGAAAACCAAAAGGGAAGAACATTTCTCAAGCTGAAAGAACTGAAGAAAAATTCCAGCCTTGACTTGTAAATCACACTGTAGAATAAGTACTGGATTACTACACCACAATGTTGGCAGTTCAAAGCTACCAGTGACTCTCCTTGGAAACCTTAGAGGGTTGCTAGGAGTTGGAACTGACTTGATGGCACTCAACAACAAACATTGGAAAATATTGAATGTTGCAGAAAGTATCCAAAGAAGATACAAGGAACACACAGAGTCACTGTATCAAAAAGAAGTGGCTGATCAAGCCATTTGAAAAAGTAGAATACTATCAAGAACCAATGAAACTGAGGAAGAAATTGAAGCTGCAGTGAGGCATCAGCAAAAAACCCCAAAAGCCCTAAGGCTCCAGGAATTGATGGAATACAAACTGAAATCTTTCAACAAACTGATGTAGCACTGGAGGCACGCACTCCAACAAATTTAGAAGACAGCTACCTGGCCAACGGATTGGAAAAGATCCATATTTGTGCTCAATCCAAAGAGAAGTGACCCAAAGGAATGTGGACACCATTGAACAATATTAATGTCACATGTAAGTAAAAATTTGCTTGAAGACAATTTAAAAATGGCTGCAACAGCACATGGTGAGGTTCAAGCCAGATTCAGAAGAGGATGTGGAACGAGGGTTATCACTGCTTGACAGCGGATGGATCTTGGATGAAAGCAGAGAATATCAGAAAGATGTTTATTTGTGCTTTATTGACTA